GTAGCCTTTTCCACTATTCCTTTCCCATCTATCTATTCGCCTTCCCACAATTTGCCACCCCTAGACACTCATGTCTTTTTCCTTTGTCACTTCTCTAAAAATTTATTGTTTCTTTGCTAAAGATAAAACTTTGAGTTACTCATCTCTTGGTACTCCTATGTATCACACAGGTGACACCCATGTAAATAAACTTCTATTTGTTTTTCACTTGTTAGTCTGTCTTTTGTCAGCCTAAGAGAATCTAACATGGGTAGAGGAATTGATTTCCCTCTCCTATAGCAAGACTGCTTTCTTTTTAAAGGACGAATAGTATTCCATTGTATGTACATACCACATTTTTTTTTCTTTTTTTTTAGACAGTCTTGCTCTGTCGCCCAGGCTAGAGTACAGTGGCATCAGCCTAGCTCACAGCAACCTCCAATTGCTGGGCTCAAGCGATCCTCCTGCCTCAGCCTCCCAAGTAGCTGGGACTACAGGCACGCGCCACCATGCCTGGCTAATTTTTTCTATTTTTAGTAGAGATGGGGTCTCGCTCTTGCTCAGGCTGGTCTCTAACTCTGAGCTCAAGCGTCCTCCAGCCTTGGCCTCCCAGAGTGCTAGGATTACTGACATGAGCCACTGCGCCTAGCCTTCCTAGTACATTTGAATTCCTTGAAGGCAGGGAATTTTGTTGTTTTCCCACAGTTCTTTGGCATATAACTGAAGCTCACTGTTGAATGGATGAATACAAGAATGAACTGGATACAGAAGTGAGGCAATGAAGTAGTCAGGATGACACCAAAAGTTTTAGCTTGAGAAACTGGATGGATGGTGAGATGTAGACACTTGAAAGAGGACGAGGTCCAGGGCTTGAGAGATAACAGAGCTCTGTCCTGAAGATATTAATTTTGAGGTGTCCTTTAGACATCGAATGGATACATTATTAGTAGGCAGTTGGATATGGAAGTCTGAAATTTTGGAGACTCTCTCTCGAGGTTAGAGTCAAACCCAGCAGGTGGTCAGCAGCTTGTAAGTGGTTAAGTCACGGAGCCAGATGGGATCGTCTGGTCAGAGAGCAGAGAGACCGGGGTGAGGTCCAGGGCCTGGATATGCCAAAGTTTAGAGATCAAGCACAGGAGAGGGAGTGTCAACAAGGACTGAAAAGGAGCCAACAGTGAGGCTGGGGAGAAGCCAGAAGTGCTACAGGAAGGTGGGAGGTGACCATAGGTGTGGCCAACTTGGTCTTAGTGGAGAGGACAGACTGATGAGTCTGCGGAGAGAATGGAAGTGAAGACATCAGCCACAGTCCACTCCTTAAAGAAGCTGTGCTGTGAAGGGGAGCAGACAGATGGGATGGTCACACCCTAGACTGCTGCCACCAATCACTGCTCCGTTCGAAAGCATCCCACCCTCTGACCACTCTTCTCTCCAACCCTCGTTGTTGAGTACCTGCACGTCAACAAATCTTCAGTCCCACCAGGCCCTGGAAGCCACTGAGTATGGGTCACCCACATTCTCACTTCCTTTCTTAACCTGCCTAGATTCCATGGACCATCACCAAATCCATTCTTTTCCCGGCCCCTTCTCCCTTCACACGCCGCCCCCTCAACATTCAGGCAAACCTTAACTCTGATCAAACCAACTCTTTGCTTATTTTATCCCTGCATCTGTGGAGCTAAATGCAGTTGAAGAAAACATGCAACTATGCTGAGCAGTCTTATTTTAAATTTACAACATAAATCTCAAGTAGGTCTGTAGGAATGCCCTGTAATTGACCAGGTCCCTGGTGAGTTGACGTTCCTAACTTTCCAGGATGATTACTTCCCACCTATACTCTCCTCAAGCCTCCAGCACTTCCTTCCTCCACTTCCTCATTCTGTCAATAATTTTTCTTTTTATAGTTCACTGAGAAAACAGAAATTAAGAGACCATCTCATCCTCCTGCCATAAGATTTACTAACCTATGTACATCCATGCCCACATACTCTGCCTTGTTGCGAAGGGCAAAGTTACCATTTGTGTACCATCAATTTCTCCCTTCTATGGGAGTAATGTAACACACACACACACACACACACACACACACACACACACACACACAGAGCTGCAGTATTTTCCATCCTAAAAAGAAATATCTCCCCAAACCTCTAATTCCCTCCAGGTACCAATCCATTTCCCTACCCCACTTCTCAGTTCTCTGAAATTCTTCAGATGGCTCCTTCCCTAACTTTATTCCAGTTTCTGATCAAATGTCACCTCTTTAGCCGCCTGTATGATAGTCCCCCTCCACCCAATTAAATCATTCCCCCATTTTCCTGTTTACTTTCTCATTAGCACTTTTACCACTTCAAATTCTGTGCCGTCTCCTCCACTAAAATGTAACTACGCTGCTTGAAAGCAGAGTATCCATTCAACCATTCGACCAGTCTTTATCCATTCACACCATTTACACATGCAATTAATTGGTTAAATTACAGAAAAAAAGATATCTGAAAAGGGAGGGAGGTTCAAAGGTGACCCTCTCTTTTTAAAATAAAGGTAAAATACTATAGTATATTTTGATGCTGATGGGAATAATCCTGAAGAGAATTTGTTAATGCAGGAGCAAGGGTCTAGTGCAAAAGGCAGAACATGTAGATGTAAACAGAGGTATTCCGGTAGAGTTGAAAAATGGAAAAAAATAAAATAGGATCTGGGATAAAATCTCCACTAGCTCTCTGTATGTAATACTGTCCCTGGAAAACTTCCCCGCAGAGGACTGCTGTGATTGTGCTCTGAGAGGACACCCCACCTCACCCTTTGCATGAGGTTGCCCCAAGTTCTGTGGTATACTGAGTTTCATCAGACATCAGGCTTCACAGTCAAAGTCTTTGTTCCACAGCTAAAACATTAAAACCCCAGGGTGATTTTAAAACTAATAGCCTGCGCATTTTTTCCAAGAATTGTAAACCAAGAATGACATTCTCATTAGTGCTTTTTCCTCTTTCAGGAACTATGTGAAGAACAACATTTGTTTTATGAGTCATCACCAAGAAGAATTAGTGCCCACACAGCTTCAAAAAGGAAAAGCACAAGAGCAGCTCTTGGAGTGCAACAAGCTGTGTGCTGGGGAACAACCCAGGCAGCTCTCTCCAGAGACCTAACAGCCTCAACACCTTACGAGCACGGATACAGTGTCACAACACTTAGTAGGGTGTCTTTGGACCAATGCATAGTTGCTACTCCTGTGTGTTCTCTCTTCAGTGTCATGGAGCTAGTTTTAAAAGGACACCCTGAAATTATATAAACAAAAACTCTTTAACCCTTTCTTCTCCAAAAGGAATCTCAAAAGGTAGATGAGCTATATAAGACCTTGTATCTCTAAGTGATCTCTTTTTGATTCTGAGCAGGTTATTGGGTTAAAAAAAAAAACATACTGCATGGTTCAATACTTTCTACCTTTTTTGACAGAGCAGCCTTTGAAAAGACTTAAGTCCTAGTGGTGAGATCGACCTTTGCCTTAAGCTAAGTATGTATGGAGGCCAGTGCTGCTTTATTATTCAGACACAAGTTGTCTGGACACAGGCTTACAGTTTTTGCCTACTAAGACACTACTTGGACTGTGTCTTGTGTAAAAAAAGAACCAGGACACACAGTGTGGACAATTTAATTGCACAGATTTTCTATCTAGATTAGAAGCAGATACTGGCTAGGATTTTAGTGATCATTCCTAGTTACAGTTCAACAAGTACACAGATTATACAAGCTTATTTTATGAAGTATGATCTAGAATTTAATGCAAAATATCTTTTTATGAGTTTCATGTTAATATTGTAAAAGATCTTTAAAAAACGACTTTGCAATAGTTGAGAAAAGTAACCATTTTTCCATATTTTAAATGAATATCAAAGACAATTTAAAAATCCTGGGACCATATTTATTTAGAAATAGTTGTTAGTAAAACATTAGAAAAGGAGTCAGGCCATTAGGTTATTTATCTAAATCTCTAAGCAATTAGGTTTAAGTTATTAAGTCGAGCCTATAAAAATCCTCTCATTGTAAGGTTTTCATGACAACTTATAGTAATCCAATTTCCTGCAATTTTTCGCACTCCTCAGGAATATCACTACCTCAGGTTATGGCACACAGGCTATAATTGATGCGACTTTCAGATGACTGCAGACATTGTAATAAATGACATTCACACATAAAGACAATTTCCTATGTTCTTCACTGTGATGAAACATATTGATGGACACCTGTACCAGCAACATGGATTTTCACCCACACAAAGATGAATTGTTCTCTTCCATATTTCTCCAGTTGATTTTTAAGACTTAGTAAGACATTTTACCAATAGAATTTGGATATGATGACAGAAAATCCACAATAAAGAATCTTAAAGCACTTAAGTAGTAACCCATTAAATTACTAATATTACAAGCTATGAAAGACACACAAAAAACTTAAAGCATAACTTGAAAAAGAATTTTAAAAAATGATTAACCTGAAGAAAGAGAATCCTAAAGCCAAAACTCCATTTTATTTAGCTTGGAATTTTCCTACTGTTCTTTAACGAACTGTCCCAGTTTGAAACAAGGGTACATGATCCACGACATTCCCTTATAACAAAGTGAAAAGACTATATAAATCTACGTAACATAAGAGACTCAGGAGAATGACTAAAAGTCCTGGTTCTGAAATGTATTATCTAAGTTAAAATTGGCAGGGGAAGCTAAAGGAAAAGGAGATTTGAGATCTTAATTCTATCATGGTACATTTCATATGCAAGTTAGAGCATTGCTGTTTTGTTTTGGAAAGAGAAGGGAAAATGTATTCTGCAGAGGATCAGTTTAAGAAATTTATCACGATCCTTTTGCAGTTCCTAAGTGTGATGATTGGGTTTTCAGGCTCTTGTGTGAGATGTGCCTCCCTGAAACCTTGCTATGGCGTGGAAAAAGAAAGAAATTTATTATGAATTACAGGCCAAGATTTTTTTTTTAAAAATCAAGACAGGTTATCAATATGAATTGTTTTTCTTTGCCAAACATCACAGATGGTATGATATTTAACAAAACCGTTCCATGTTTCCTTTGAAGTTCAAACAGCTATTTCTTGGTTTAGCCATTCACTGTAAATGGGCAGGAAATTGTTTATCAACCTAGCTGGTTTATTACCAGTGACCTCAACTTCAGTATTTTAAATCATGCTCTTCTATTTTTCTTTTATTATCCTGAGTCTGTAACTAAACAATTTTGTCTTCAAACTGATTTTTACCCAATTCTCATTGCCCCATACCAATTCAAGCTTTTTGATTTTTGAAAATAAAAGGGGGGATACTTATAATTTGTACGCATATATTCACAGTTTTTATTTATAAAAAAAAATTTACAGTACTTGTGGAAAGCCAGCAGAAGACATCAGACACACTCATTTCTTCCCAGCTTTGTTAAGTTTAGTGGATTACCCATGGACACTTTGCAAGGTGGGGCTTGGCAGCCCCGAAAACAGACCTGGTCAGACTGTCTTTCCCCTGACCTTTTCAGACAAAACACTTCAATGAGCTATTGATCTGCTCAGTTTTCAAGTCATCCAAATACTGAAAATGTTATATCATCTGGATCTGCACCTTGGCTATATAATCATGTTTTTCCCCCTATTGTATCTTTCTTTGTGAAAACTGCAAAACAAGAGGTTACTTATTATTATTAATTAAAACTAAGTGAAAAATCTCAAATTTTTACAAAAGTCTGCCTATAATTCTTTCATCTAATTTTTATTCTCTGTATTTATGAGTTTAGCTATCCTACTAGATCTTAAAATGAACCAAATAAACACAAACTAAAAAAAAAAAAGAAAAATTAAAGTCTAAAAATCACAATGAAATCTTTCATAAGAAAGAAAATACAAAAATTAGCCTCTGCCCCCTACTTTGGAGGGAGTGAGAGGCAGGGTAAGGGAAGGCATTGAGAAGAAAGAAGATAAACACAAAATAATATACACAGTTCAGTGCAGTGCTTAAGCTAGGTTTTCAAGATTTTACAATATGGTAAGGAAAGATTTTATATATGGTACTATATATGGAGGTTAAGATGTTGCCATTTTTCACAAAGGTTTCAAAACCTTTTGGAAATTCAGGTTTTCGTGGAAAATGATGTTGGAATATTGTCTCTCTTAAGTTTCTCCTGAGAAGCTAATCTGACTCTCCACTCAGCTTTATTTCTAGTAAAATCACTGTTGGTTACACTAAACTCCTAAGCCTAAGTGGTAGAGCATGACTGCAGCTTGATCCTGTGTCACCACTCCCAGGCTCAAGGGTGAGCCACAGATACTGTTTCATAAATACACATTTATTGTAACTGTAAGAGTAGCAATCCCATACACTGAATACTCACTCTTTAGCTCCATTAAATAAGACACAGCAAGGGGAAAGACATATCTCACAAAATGGCTTTCAAGTTCAAGTGGAACTGTATTATAATTATACTATGGCACAGAGGCAACTTGTGGGCACTTCTTGTTAAAACAGCACAATGTTATCAGCTTCTGACAAGACTCTTAGTACAGCCTTGAGCACCAACCTAAGATGAATGAGTCAAGAACCTCAACCACTTGCCTACAACTATAGCTGTTGAGTCTTTGCAGAATAACAAAGGTCCAAATGAGGCACAAGCCATCAGAGCTTCTTTCTCACGTCCATCTAGTGGGTAAGAGGATTCTCTTTTTAAAACTACAATTTCTTTCACTTTTAAAAGTGACTTAACATTTTCTATCATATTAAATTAGCAACATAAAACATTATTCTTTATCTATAAAGTTCTACTCTGTTTTTCTAGAATTTATATACACATTTTTATTTCTAATCTGCATGAAAAAAATTCCTATTTGATATTTGGTAACAGAGCATTAAAAGATACTATACACATGTGGTATATATATATATATATATATACACACACACACACACACGCACACACAAAATACACTTCAAAAAGAAGCCAACACACTTTAGCCAAAGTCTAAGCTTGCATAGATTAAAAAAAAAAGAATTACAAATACAATTTTTGTTAAAATAGAAAATGGGGAATAAAAGTTATAGAATGGATATGAAGAGAGATCTTTTCCAAACTTTTATTTGTGCACATTCAATTGAAAAAGATAACTTTTACAGGTTCTTTGGTGCCCATATTCAGCATACAAAAATGTAAAAGACTATTCACAAATAAAACACATTAGCTCAAACTGGAAAAAAATAACAATGACAACAACAAAACAATCTAAGGTAGTGCACACTGTGACAGCTCTGCTTATGGGGACATGAGAATTACTGCGAAAATAAATAGAATGTCCTTTTGTAAAAGCAGCAATGTCATGTCTTGTAAACTTCCTTTTTATATTACAGCAAGGTTTGGAATAAAATCCAAAGGGACTGGAGCTTACACTGTAGCCGTGAATGAATAAAAGAGTCTATTTCCTCAATTACCGTTGGTCCAGTTTTCCTTTTGTTTTGAGTCCAATGTGCAGCAGGTTTTAAAAGGTGCTCAGTTAGAGATTCTAACCAATTAAATGATGAATTATAAAATTTCTTTCCTGCTTTCAAACACAAATGGGTAAATCTGTTCCACAGCAGTAGCAACAGCCTTTACGTTGGGCCCTGTAACAAACACAATGGAGGAAGGAGTGAGAAGAGTTGAAAAGGGGAGCACTAGGAAAAACTGATTTCTCAGAATTACAAATATTTAGGTAGTTTAGAATATCAAATTAATTGTTTAAAAAATTCTACGCTTACATAATTATACACATAGTCATAATAAGAACCAAAAGAATATAAATTTTTTCTAGACAAAGGAAATCTGAAAGACAAAATAATGTTATTCATTTTATTTTAGGGCACCAGTTTGAACAGAGAGTGTAAGAAACTGCATACAAACTCTCATGAGGAGAATAAAAAGCACTGTAATATAACATGTATGAAAGGAAGGAGTAAGAAATGGGACTGGACAATCACTGCCCTTTTCATCGCTGTTGTCTGGCTTTTGGTTAGGCTACAACCGAGGCTTGCAGGGGTCTGGAGGAACCCAGAAGAGTGAGACAAAGCTGCTACCCAAACAGTGGGAAACCAGAGGGCTGTTTTAAACTACATAGTCTATATGCACGAACAACGAGTGCGATGCGCACCTCTGGAGGAATGGACACACTTGAAGCTCGGACTTGGGGGGGAGGGAGGGCAAGGGCATCATACGTAACCTAATCATCTGTACCCCCATAATATGCTGGAATAAAAAAAATAAATAAAAGGATTTAAAAAAAAAAAAAACTACACGGTCTAAAAATCCCCACAAATTTACTATTACTGCTTCCCCACTACGATTTACTCTAACTCTTAGTATCCACACGTTTATTTAAAATCTGGTCATTTCACCCTCAGAGCTTACCCAAGTCAATAGGGGGTGGGGGGAAAAAGGTACAAGACAGTGAGGTGACCCTACATTTGAATTAATCCATTTAACTACAGAACAACTTTTTAAAAGCGTAATCTTTCATTTAAACAGCTAAGAAGAAACATAAAAAAGGGCAATGAAAAATATGTTCAAAAAATTTATTTTGAATAAAAATGGTTTCATTAATACACACTTCTTTCAAAGATCCTGAAAACTTACATATCTACCCACTGTGAATGCTTTGAAGGTCCTGCCCGCATCCTAACTTGGGTTGGCTCCTTCCTGACTCACCTTACCCCTCTCCACAAAGGACAGTGCTTACTCACCATGGAACCACTCAGTATGTGCTCATTGAATTGTTAACATTTTCTAGGATATTCCAGATGTAAATAGTGTATTCTACTTAACCAGGTCAATTATCTTCTTCAGTTTTTTATTGTGTTGTTTAATTATCCATTAACTCAATAAATACAGATTTTTACATATGTACCATTTTATTCTACACTTATTGGGGACTATTCAATAGACTTTGAGGCCTCTCAGATGTCCAAGCTCCAAAGTGTGGAAACAGATAGTTGAAAGAAGGGAACAAATAGACTTGCTCCCCACTTCCCTATTTTTAAGATTCAGGTGGGATCCTGGCAACAGGCTTTGAAAGTCTCCAAGGAAGATGGAGAAACTCATAGGATGAGTCAAAACTAAAGCTTATTTGTTGAAAATCTAAAGGTTCTCAAAAAGTATTATTCTCCTCTAAGGACTGAACAAATAAAAAGCAAAACTCAAAGACACTAAAGAAACTTCCCTTAACTCAGTTTTGTCTAAGGTTGCGCTTGACTCCCAAACAATGCCTCTGTACAATTTGTAATAACAGTACCTTTAAAAATCATACTACATGCTAATGCTACCCTTTGACAGGTATGCCCAGTCTTCTGAAATCACCCCTTCCAAATACTTAAAGATTCAAAAGATACAACAAAATACACATATAACATAACAAAAAGGTACCAATTATATTTGAATATTTTGCTAATGTAAAACCATTGTGACGTTCATAAAATAAGTTTCTTGTGGGTATTTTAAATGCAAGATATCATAAATTTAAAAAAAATCATACAATGGATATATGGAATTTTCTTAACAGCTCCAAACTGGAAACTACTCAAATGCCTTTCGACAGTACATTCACACACTGGATACTATACAGCAATGAGAATGAATGATCTACATGTACCTACATGGAACAATATGAATGAATCTCACTAAGATAATGATGAGTAAAAGACAGACACAAAATAGTATATATAAGACTTACAAATAGTACAAAAACAAGTAAAAGTAATCTACAGTGGTAAAAGTCAGGAGACTGGTTCCCCTTAAAGGGCAGAAGTGACTAAAAGGGACAAATTAGACGTTATGACTATCTTGGTATGGGCATTTCTTATATTGTTCAATCTGTAACTGCCAAGTTTTGTTTTGATATTATAGAATACCTGTTACTGTGATACTTCCTGTTGAAAAAATCTGTAATGTAGCTCTTAGAGACTTTATCCGATAGCACACAGCAGGATGAAGTTCAGGTTCATAACTATACAAAAAAAGCCACAATTAATATAAATAATTATAGCCTGACTAGTAATTTTAAATTTGCTAAGTTATCTTGATTCTTCAAAGACCTACCTGGCATGAGGTCTATTGTTCTTTGTGAATTCTGGCAAACGGATTTCAAATGGCATGTTACACACCGCCAAAACGTTAACAACCTTAAAATCTGTAAAGATTACCTTTAGGAAAGAAGTAAAACGCAATGAATTTATTTTGAAACAAAAAAATCTGCTCATCATAGCAATCCTTAATAATTTAGTGGAAACAAGATAAAACAGAAACATCTTAAGCATGGATTTAGTATTAAGCTATTTTTTAAAATTGTTTTTTAATTATTATGGGTACATAATAGTTGTAATATCTTTAGAAGTTGCTTAGTATTAAAAGCTATAATTGAATGAAAGAAAAAAGCTCAAAAACTTCATTAAAAAATTAAAACCTGAGATATTTGCATGATTAAAACGGTACATTCAGGGTCTTTTGAATCTTATGTTTAGTTTAACTTTTTGATACTTTAAATGAGATATTTAAAACTATTGGGAAAGGAGAGAGAATGGTGAGAAAAAAAAATTAAAGCAGCGTTCTCCTTCTAAAGAATCAAAATGGAAAAGATGTCACCTTAAAAAGTCAATAAATAGAGTGTACATTAGGCTCCAAAGATCAGATGTTTTTCTCATATACATTAGGGTAACATGACATTTCTGTGAGTTTAGTTAGATGTTTATTTTCTCTTGGGGGATAGAGTGATAAAATAATGCTTTTAACTAATTGGGATTTCTCTCACTTCTAATTAGTTATGATGAGAAAAGAAGCACCAAGGTTGAAAACAATGTTCTCTTAATTACTTCAGCCACTCCCACCATCTTAAATCATTTCATTTCATTATCTTTTCAAACATTCCTCCTAAAATCACAATTGTAGATGAGCTAACTATCCTCCAACTCAGTACTTGCACAATGCAGCTGCAGAAAGCGAGGAAACTGCAAAGTAGCACTACCCTCGAATCCAGGTACACGTCAAGGCTCTCTGTACTCTGCCACTCTCCTTAAGCACCAAACCCCATGCCCCAAGAGCAGCTCAGTATGTTCTATCAACTTCTACTTCAGAGACTGAGTCATCAGAGAGAAACTCAACCTCCCATCCCTGTTTCCACAAACTGATCTAAATCCCAAATAGTCTCACCCTCCTCTTCAGGGACCACATCTCATCTTTATTTTTCATTTACTCATCATTTGCAGGTGACCCAGCAATTCTGTAACATGTAATCACTTTATTCGAAGGTATACTTCTACAGAATTATATGTGATAAAGCTGACGTGCCCGATAGTCACGTTACAAGTGCGAGAGCCTGCCAACCTGTGTGTCCGTGTCAACAGGACTCTACAGCTCTCTACTCATCATCCTGATCTGGCATTTGTGAGATGACCGAAAACCTTTTTTTTTTTTTTTTATTGGTGAGAAGTGAAAAAACTAAGAGTTGAAAAAGAAATTAATCTGTATAGAAACAAATCTCTCTATGGGAAAGGAATTTGGGACAAAGCTAGGATCTCTTACAAATACCCACAGGCAAGTTTTGCTACTCATTTTCATACTGAAGGCCAGCATATAAAAAACAAAAACAAAAAAAAACCTAGAAAAAATTCAACCATTAAGAAGAGTTTCTGTGGTGATTTCTGTAGTCTATTACATTAAAATTTTTTAATTTCACAAAAATAAATCCTTGCATGTTTGTGGTTTGGATAACTTTTTGGAATTTACCTGAAAACCTAGTTTCTGCAGACTGCGGGCTAAACGTCTGGCACCAAATTTAGCTTCTTCTTCACTATGGTTTTAAGGAAAGAAAAAGATGATCAGTTACACAGGAAATAAATTTTATACTGAGGAACATAATAAACTTTACATATAATTTTTCACGTAAGTCTAGGAAAATGTCCTTTCCATGAGGGAATAAGTAAAAAACAAAAATTAAAAACCCAAGTAATATTTACCTTGTTGCTCCAGTGCAAATAATTTTTCCTGAGGACCAAATTGTAGCTGTAATTCTAGGTTTTCTAAGCTTCATTAATACTTTCTGAAAACAAAAAAAATCTGATTACCTAATAAGCATTAATTTTTACATATGGTTCTGTTCTATGTAGCCATGTTAATGTCCAAATACTACAAGCTTATCCAACACTGAAATAACTGTTCTCCAAGTCACTCATTCCGAAATCAAGTACAATGCTGATCACAAGGAACATATAAACCCAAAGGACATTTAATTAATTAAAAATACAATATCTACATAAATCTCTTACCATATACTTGAAATCAATGTACCACAAGTGCATAAACATTTCAACTCTCATTCCACTCCAGTCACTTAACTGGAATTTGCTTAGATCCTCACACATGCCAAACTTGTTCATGGCTCAGGAGCTTCGCAGTAGCTGCTACTTTCATCAGGAATATTCCCTCCTCATTATTTTCATTCCATTCAGGTCTCTCATCAGGTGTCACCTCTATAAAGAGGCCTTCCTTGACCATTCCACTGAAACACCCATCCCTATTGCTCTCCAATTCATAACTCTGGTTTGTTCTGCTTCATGGCACCCAATACTACTTTATATGGTATCTTACAGTTGAAATGTTTATTACATACTCAAATTCAACATGGAAATCTCAAGGGAAGGACAAATGTTGAAGCTGGAGATACAATTTGAGATTCCTTAGATGTGAAAGGCATTTATTTAAAGCTATGGGTTGGAATGAAATAACCTACCAAGTGAGTATAAACAGATCAAGGACTAAACTCTAAAATAATATGTAAATTCAAATTTTCATTGCAATTTTTCATTTGTGGAAATATTTATTATACGCTCATTATATGTAAGAAAGAGATATTTACTGAATAATATAACATATAAATCAATTGGGCATTTCTTCTTAAAACTTTTGTCACATTTTGAGTTCTTCCATTTCTCTGTCATATGTCTCACATGTCATACTATCAAACTAGAAAACTATTACATCTAGGGAGACTCAAAATTTACCAAAGGTGAAAATAAAATCTGAACTAAAATACATCATAAAATTGCATATACAAGTGACTGAGAACCACTAGATTCTCTCACCACCAGTTTGTGTATCAACTCAGATTTTTCAATTAATCTTTCTAAAAAAAAAAAAAAAAAGCCAAAAAAACTACTTCCTTTCCATATGTTATGCTAAAGTAGCAAAGCAGTGTTAGGCATATTCCTCTCTAAACTTTTTAGCAAAAATATTTATTCCTTTTTTTAAAGGAAAGACGGTATTACTGATGAACTTGGAAATCTTTAATTGTAGGTCACTGAAAATTCTAATTGAATCTAATTCATTTTTACTTCGTTTCTAGTACAAGAACTAATGACAATTTACATAGATATACTGGCATCTAATTTTTAGAGCTAAATAGAGCCTTCAGACACATCCTTAATTTTCGTAATGTATAAAATATATCTATTTCATCAATCTTTGGTTTATAAAAGCCAAATAAGTACCCATTGTCATTTATAACAATCTCAAAACATTAAGGTTTTATTATTATTATACTTATTAATATTAAGGCTTTAAAATATTACAGGTTTAACAAAAACTAAAATGTAAGATGTCTAGGTTTAAGACCTGAACCATATTATTTTCAGCAGTTTATTACGAAAGAAAATCATTTATCTTGACTAACTAATGAGGGGTATGACAATTAATATTGTAATACAAAAATTACAATATATGTTAGGGTATCATTCAAATATAATTATAATTGAATATATTTAAATAAATACACATGAAATTATAAAGGTCCCTTTCTTTAGTTGAAAGAAATTGAGAGAACAATAAAATGTCTCTAATCAATGAGTTTTTTGCTAAGACTCAAATACAAGTACTATAACTCCAAAAGCTGTCATGTCCACGTGAGGAGGGGTCGCTTCTACAGGGCTCACTGCTGCATCCAGGACAACTAGCACATGGTAAAGTTGCTCATAAACTATCTGTAGAATGGATACATTTTAGCATCACTTACAACACTCTAAAATTAGACTATATAGTACACATACCAAAGTTAAGATACTTACTCCAACATCACGCTTATAAATTACATTTGCTCCCTCCAAAGCTATCTTTCTTAAGTTCAAATGGCATCTTGTTCTAAAAACACAGACTACATTTGTGATTAGAATGTCCAATGCAACATCACTGTCTGCATCCATTGGGGTAGTTTAATAACTTAGCTTCCCACCACGAAGATCACATCCTGAGAAATAAAACAAAATAAAGTCATTAAATTTAAATGAACTGTTAATTTATTTCCCACAATCTTGAAATTAAAATGTAAGAAATGAATCTATATTATTTATTTTTCAAATGTTACTAGAATCAAATCATGTCCCTTTCTTCTCCCCTAAAAATGTTATTTTTAAAAAGATAACATGCCATATAATATCCTTCAAAATCTGGAACTAACTTTCATTGCTTAAATTAATAAGTAACTTTTACATGCCAGGAACTTACCATACTTATCTCCTGCTATTCTCCTTTACAACCACTACGCTTCAGGTGTACCACAGTTATGAGGATTCCCCGAACATACTATGTTCAAGGGCTGGACTTTGTGGTCCCAGTGTCCAACCATTAGTGGTATATAATCTAACTCATACAACTTGCTGGCACTATAAAAAAGATGATCTACTTTTTTCCATTTTGGGCAGAGTAACTGATTTAAGTTTAAAGAAGTAGAAATATTAATTATAACTTTTATTAACAGACTTTTTTTTATTTACTAGCCATTCATTTACTATTCACTTTCTGAACACCTTCTATACAGTGAGGCTACCAGAGAGGAAAAATGAGTAAGGCAAAGCCTTTTGCCTTAAGGAGCTCATAAACCTGTGGAAGGGGGTAGTCTAATAAATAGTTAGCAAAATACCATTTTTATCAAGATAAAAATCCTCCAGTATATATTTTCCAAGATTCCTACAATAAGAGCATTTATATAAACAAGCCCAGGTTTTTACTAAGCACATGACCTATATCTAGCTAAAAATTCTCTCTTTGGGTTTTCACACCTTAAAAAATAAACAATGGCAATTTGGCTTAACTAACCTCACAAAAAGAAAATCAGAAAACAGTAAAAATATACCACAATTAAGACTCCTCGTAGTTACAATGTGAAAAACTAGTATTCTTTATAAGGATTCAAGATTAGCATGACTAAAACAATGAAGGTGCCAAGAGTCCAAATAAAGAAAATTTAGTCTTGTTTTTCTTTTAGCTTCTGAGAAAACACAGGCAACAGCCAGACGGAAACTTTCAACACCTCTACAGGACCATATAGCATTCAACTCTATGTGTCAATTATACCCCACTTCCCTATATTTTCTCACTCTTACATTCCCACATTCCCTTCAATCTGTGTATCCTTTTGTTTTTCTGTTCCTTGTGTATGTTTGAGCTACCTCAAATCATTTTTTATGTACAACAGGTGGGGCAGGGGTGACGATGGGAACTGCAGGCAGATTAATAAGCAGAGGCACGTAGGCAGTTTATTACCATTGCTCTTATGCAGCATGCTCAACCTCTGACTCACCACTTACTAGCTGTAAGAACTGGGACAAGTTATATAATCTAACTGTGCCTCAGTGTTCTCAGTTGTAACATGGAATAGTGTCTGCCACAGTGTGATGTTGTAAGAATTAAATAATGTATAAAAAGTACTTAGCACTTAGTACTAAGCACAAAAGTACTTATGGAAAATAACACAACAAATGACAGTGGTTATTGATGAAATAAGGTAAAATTAACAAGCAGATCAGAGATTTCTTAGCATCATTTCCCTTGCATACCTTAGAGCCCTGTTACTGAGCCATTTGGACACCACCAGGTTTTCTGCTAGGTTCCTAGTTACTTACTCCAATATCCATTTCACCCTCCCTTCATAATGACCAGAATCCAGATGTCTAGCTGGGTTTATTGTGATGGAAATAAAATATTCATATTATAGTTTTCAGGCTCCCTGGCAACAGGTATAGCCAAGTGGCCACATGACTATGTTCTGGTCAATCAACGTAAAATAAAATGGAATGTGTCTTTTGGGAAGTCTGCTTACAGTGACCAACTACACCAGCAAGGACTCCTTTTGCCTTTCTGCTCTTCTTCATTCTTGCTCCCTAGAGTTTGGATATGAGAGCTGGAGCTCAAGCAGCCAATTTTGGACCATGAGACTATGAGGATGAGGATGATAGAACAGTAAGACAAAAGTGGCCGGGGTCTTTGAGATGCAGTGAACCCCCTTATCCTACACTTCTTAATTCCAGACCTCATGAGTATGAGAGAAAAATCAATTGCTCTCATGTTGGATTTTTGTTATATACTGCCAAACCTAATGCTAACTGCTACACATACCTGAGGATAAGCTACAAAAAGCAACCATGTAAGGAGAAACTTCATACAAAGAAACTATATCAAATTTACTGTTTCACAACAATTTTTTTTTTTTTTTTTTACATCAAACAGGCTAAAACAAATTGACTCGGATTTACTACTTTGAGTTCTAAACTACTAAACTGCCTGAGGGGACAACACAGGATAATATATCGGGTGAAAATAAGTCAAGAAGGAAGGGGTAAAGCAAATCTTTGTGAACTTGAATATAATTCAAAATTGATGACTGTTTCCAACATTCTAGCAACTTAAATTTTAAAAAGGAGGACATGGCAATAGTTCATCATAAGTGTTCATATTTTAGATAAGTAGCCTGGCAAGCAGGCTCAGAAAATAACTGTTTTAATAAAAAGTTTCCTATTAAAATTATAATACGAAAAAGTTAGTACTTTAAAAAAGAGGCACCCTACATGAAAGATCTCATATTTTTTGAAGAAGTATGAAAAAAGACCCATTTTCAGTCGGTTTATCTACCTTGTAGAACAAGAGAATAGTACTGGATATTAACAAAGATTCACTTTTTATTTTTATTTACTTATTTATTTTCAGACAGAGTCTCGCTCTGTTGCCCGGGCTAGAGTGCCGTGGCCTCAGCCTAGCTTACAGCAACCTCAAACTCCTGGGCTCAAGTGATCCTCCTGCCTCAGCCTCCTGAGTAGCTGGGACTACAGGCATGCGCCACCATGCCCGGCTAATTTTTTCTATATATTTTTAGTTGTCCGATTAATTTCTTTCTATTTTTAGTAGAGATGGGGTCTCGCTCTTGTACAGGCTGGTCTCGAACTCCTGACCTTGAGGGATCCTCTCGCCTCAGCCTCCCAGAGTGCTAGGATTACAGGCGTGAGCCACCGCGCCCAGCCAAGATTCACTTTTTAAAGCTAAACATATTATATCCCTTTTAGATAAGATAACTAGATGGCAGTCCAGTGAAATAGATAAATTTCAATTTCTACAAAGCATCTATCACATTCCTTGTAGTTTTAAGGTAGTTAAATAATTTATCAATGGGTAAAAAAAGGTCTACCTGAGTAAACAGTAGTAGTTCAAAAGGCTTAGGTTATTCCTGAAAATACACACACATTAACTTTGTTCAAATTAAACCACCACCACCACAACAGCTACAGGAAAGACAGTGTAAACTAATTCCCACTAGGAAAGAAATATTCCAAATTGTTTACTATTATGGTATCTATAGTTAAACATCAGGATCATCTACTTCCTCTAATAAATTATAAGCTTTTTGAGGTCAACGCTATGTCTCAAAGGTCTATACATTCCCATGGCTCAACACCATATCTGACATATAGTAAAATGTTCCATTATTATTTGGTGAATAAATGCTATAAAATCCAACATTTCAATCTCCTGTCTATATTAAATTTCTCATCTACCTAGAATTCCAAAGTATTTCTTTTAATTCTAGGCATGGAAAAAACTTGTTAGAAAGGCTGAAACTTATCTTCCAAAGCTACCTAATAGGTAGTATACTTTATATTTCATGGTGGTTTACACATAAATTTTTGATGTTGTTGTTTACTGGTATGTAGTGCTCCAAAGAGAATGTGTTTAAGCAACTCCACAAAAAATACAGTATTTGAAGGTGACATTAAACTCACAAGGCTGTTAAGCCTGCTAGCCATAGCACTATAGTATAACATACTTCAGATATACAAAAGGGCAAAAAGAATACTACAATGAACATCTATGTATCCACTATTCAGCTTAAAAAATAAACCTTACAATACAACTGATGTCTCCCTATGCACTTCTACCAAATCGCATCCTCATCCTTCCCCTCCAGAGAAAACCTCTACTCTCAATTGGTGTCTTATCACTCTCATATATTACTCTTAAACTTATTACACATATACAGTATATCTCTAAGCCCAATTAAGTCACGATTTTTAAAAAAGATAGTGATGAATTTAGTTTGCTAATACTCATTTAGGATTGACACAGCTATGTTAATAGGTAGAATTAGTCTATAGTATCGCTTTCTTGTACTGTCCTTATCTGATTTGAGTATTAAGGTTATACTAGACCTGTGGTCCCCAACCCTCTGACCGCAGACTGGTATTGGTCCATGGCCTTTTAGAAGTGGGCCACATAGGACAAAGTGAGAGGCAGGTGAGCAAGTGAAGCTTCATCTGTATTTACAGCTGCTCCCCATCACCTGCATCACCATATAAGCTCTGCCTCCTGTCAGATGAGCTGTGGCATTAGATTCTCATTGGAGCGTGAACCCTACTGTAAGCTGTGCATTCGAGGCATTTAGGTTGCATGCTCCTTATGAGAATCTAATGCCTGATGACCTGAGGTGAAGCAGAGGTGGTGATGCTAGCACTGAGGAGTGGCTGCAAATACAGATTATCATTAGCAGAGTTTGATGCCCTCCCCACTACCCCAGGACCATGGAAAAATTGTTTTCCATGAAACTGGTCTCTAGTGCCAAAATGGTTGGGGACCACTGTACTAGACTCATTATATGAGTTAGAATGGTTTCTTTTCTTTTCAATTCTCTGGAAGACAGTTTAGAAAACCTTATCCAAAATTGTTTGGACTTGTTTCTTGTTTGTTTGATGAATTTTAAAAGACTAATTCAATTTTTAAGAGTTTTAAAACAATTAATGCCTTCTATTTTCTTCTTGAGCCAGTTTTGTTAAATTAAATTTGCCTGGGAAATTTTCCATTTCTTCTAAATTTTAAAATTTACTGGACATATAATTCTTCATGGTGTTCTTAATAATCTTTTAAAATCTCTGCTGTAGCACACTTATCCCTTTTTCATCCTAGTATCACTTATCCCTGCCTTTCATCCCC